GAGAAATGCTGAGCGTGTTCTTCCTTTTTGGTTTTCTGATTCCAGATACTTGCACATTTTGTTGTAATATTTGGCTTTATCTTCTTGAGCTGACCTTTGAACTTTTCCGTTCAGCTCTTGGACCTCCTCATTTCTTCCATTTGCTTTAGCATCTCTATGCTGGAGAGCAAGTTTCTGCGTCTCTTCTGACATCCATTTTGACCGCTTCCTTCTTTCTTGTCTTCTTAATGACTTTTTAGTTTCTTCATGTATGATGTTCTTGATGTCATCCCGCAACTCTTCTGGTTTTTGGTCTTTAGTGTTTAATGTATCAAATCTGTTCTTCAGAGGATCTCTAAATTCAGGTGGGATATATTCAAGGTCATATTTTGGCTTTTGTGGACTTGTTTTCATTTTCTTCAGCTTCAGTTTGAAGTTGCATATGAGTAATTGATGGTCTGTTCCACAGTCTGCCCCTGGTCTTGTTTTCACCGATGATTTGGAACTTTTCCATCACCTCTTTCCACAGATGTCATTAAATTGATTTCTATGTATTCTATCTGGTGAGGGCCATGTGTATTAGTCATCTCTTATGCTGTCTAAAGAAGGTATATGAAATGAACAAATAATTGATTTTACAGAATTCTATCATGCCTTCTCCTGCATCATTTCTATCACCAAGGCCTTATTATCCAACTACTGATCCTTCCTCTTTGTTCCCAACGTCTGGATTCCAATCACTAGTAATGATCACTATATCGTGATTGCATGTTTGATCAATTTCAGATTGAAGAAGTTGGTAGAATTCTTCTATTTCCTTCTCACTGGCTTTAGTGGTTGGTGCGTAAATTTAAATAATAATGTTCTGAACTGGGCTTCCCTGTAGTTTCATGGATATTAGCTTATAACAGACAGCATTGTACCTCATGACTGATCTGGATATGTTGTTTTTGACGATGAATGCTACACCATTCCTCTTCAATTTGTCATTCCCGGCATAGTAAACCATGTGGTTAACAAATTCAAAATGGCCAATACTAGTCCATTTCAGCTCACTAATGCCTAAGATATCAATGTTTATGCACTCCATTTCATTTTCTACAATTTCCAATGTTCCCAGATTCATACTTTGTACATTCCATCTTCTGATTTTCAATGGATGTTTACAGCTGTTTCTCTTCATTTTGAGTTGTGCCCCATAAGCAAATGAAGGTCCCATGGGCTTTACTCCATTCTCGTCATCTCGGTCAACTCTACTTTGAGGAGGCAGCTCTTCCCCAGTCACATTTTGAGTGCCTTCCAAGCTGAGGGGCTCATTTTCCAGCTCTGTATCTGACAGTGTTTCTCTGCTATTCATAAGGTTTTCAGTGACTAAATATTTGGAAGTAGTTCACCACTCCTTCTTCCTAGTCTGTCTTCATCCGGAAGCTCATCTGAAACCTGTCCACCGTGGGTGACCCTGCTAGTATTTAAAATGCCAGTGGCATAGCTTTCAGAATCACAGCCACCACAGTACAACAAAGTGACAGACGAGTGGTGGGAAAGCTTGTCTAGGAATCACAAAATGGCTGTTGGTCTTCTTCTTGAATCTTTCTAGCTATGGGCACACAGTAGCTAATGTGTGGCTATTCCATTTCGGCAGACTTGGCACTAAGCTCAAAGATCTTACTGTAGCTGAAATTATTAGTCTTAGTCTTCCCCTTGGGACCAAATAAAAGAAGCTGCTTCAACCCAAAGGCCCTTTTGTAATTTCTGTTGTTTGTTACGTGTTTCTTGTTGCCCCTTTTATGAATGACTTCCGAGGATGCACAGAAGGAATTTTTTTCCCAATATAATTTTAATAGTTCCGTTTGTGATTGCCGTCTTAATCCTTGCTTCAGGAACGTATATCCTGTTGGAGTTGCTGAGAATTAAGTAATGGTCTATTCCAGCCCCTCATTTGCAAATAAGGAAACATCTTAGAGAATAAAACAACTTGTTCAGTGGGAAAGCTGAGTTTACTGGTTCCATGTGTGTTCTGCATCAGATTAGACACCAGTTTCAGCAATAACAGCTTTCGGAAACAGTGTTTTCCCTTTAAACAACCAACCCAATCTAACAAATCAGTTACACTCAAGTCACTTCTGACTCATGGTGACCCCATATGTGTGAGAACTGCTCTGTGGGGTCCCGTGGTTGTGACCTTTCAGCAGCAGATTCACAGAGTCTTCTGGGTGGCCTTGAACCACCAAGCTTCTGGTTAGTGTCCCAGCATTCCATTTTTTCTGTTTTAAATAGAGAAGTGTGAGGCCAAGATATGAGTGGGCTTGACCAAGGAAAGGAAGGGAAGCTGCCATCAGAGCTCTGAGTGCTGGTGTTAGCCCTGCACTACATGACTATAACCCCTCCATCACCAAGCATCATGTAGCCTTGGCCTTGAGGTGTTACTGTTTGCTCTGAGGTCACTGAACAGCCTCGTATTGCTAGGACCTAAGATCTGGTAGCACAGGGCTTAAGAGTCGGGCTGCTAATCTCAAGGCCGGCAGTTTGAATCTACCGGAAGTTCCACTGGAGAGAAATGAAGCTTTCTGCTCCCATAAAGATTTACAGCCTTGAAAACCCTCTGCAGGGCTGATATGAGTCGGAACCGACTCCACGGCACATAACCACCGAACTCTCACCAGGAGGCCTGGTGGCACAATGATTAAGCAATCAGCTGTTGATGGTGAGCAGTGGGAACCTACCCCAAGGCTGCTCAGGAAACAGATTGTTGTTGTTGTTAAGTGCCATCGAGTCAATGCCAACTCATAGCAACCCTGTACAGGGTGACTGAGGAGCAGCTCGGGGGCTTGAACTGCTGGCCTTGTGGTTCGCAGTCCAGTGCTGATCCTACAGCGCCACACCAGGAGTCCTGGATTACAGACTGTTGAGACCCCCATGGAGATTACAGTTCTTTGTTCCGGGAGGTCACTATGACCGAGAAAACACTCGGTGGTACCCTCTATGGGAAACATGCCACAACCCGCGCCCCCCCCATCCTTTTTCCTCATCTCAGTTTTCCTAATAAAGTGCCTGGCCGTACAGTTTCAAGAAAAGTACAAAGCATTTTTTTCCCTGACTGCACAAAGCAGGTGTTTACCTTCATTTACAAAGTGAGTAGTCTGAGGCTTACTAACACTCGAGGTTGGTTACATAGCTAATCAACTACAGCAGTTTGTGAACCCAGGTTCATGGGGCCCTAGTCTCCTTGCTGTCCCCACACGAGGGTCAGAAATGCAGTTCCCCACAGAACTGGCTGCCACAACGTCACCCCAAAACCTACCTACTCAGCCCTCAGTATTACGGCCACGGCTCTGGAAACTGGGCGGAAAAATCACGGATTCCTTAGTATTGCTTTGAACCAAAACACAAAGATAGCCTTCCGCTACAAAAACATGTGCAGCAATTCTGCCTCTGGTGTCTTTTCACCCTGAAAGCTGCTAACTATTAAGAAAAAAAAAAAAAAAAAGTCAAGGGAAAGATGAACTGCCAACACAGAGTTAAAAAGTTTTCTGTAAATATTTTATTTTCCCATATTTCTTAAGTCAGAAAGAAGCATTTGGTAATAAAAATAATAGAGAATTACGTTCTTCAAGTCTACTTTGATGTGTAATCAAGCTGCCCGTTTCCCAGCTTTGATTCCCTTTGTACAGACAGAATCAGCACTCACTTCAAGACACTTGGGAGTTTGAGTGTGTGGTTTCAAATCCTTAATATTAGTTTTCTCAACTATTTACAAATATATTACAAGCCAAATAAATGTTTCAATGATAAACTCAACTTGCGATGATCAGCAGCTCCTAGCCTCTTCGGTGTGTTTTTAAAAGATGAAGCACGCCAAGTGTGGGAAATTGGAATCATTTCTCTCTTCCCCGTTTTCCTTCTGTTGTTACAAGAAAAGCATGAGAGGTTTCGTATTATGAACGTGCGCCCTGTGGCTGTGAGTCTAGGCTGCGACGTGCTCAATTGGAGGACAGGAGTGTGACGTGATGTCACTGTGCTTGTACACAGCTTCATCTAAGTCCAGGGCCTTCTTGTTGATTTCCAGGGTCATACAGCCTTGGTAGAAAGCCGTGACTGGCGCTGAAGTCACGGGAACATCTGGATCAATGGGGAAAGAACAAAAAACCATCTCTAGCAGCTGTGCCATCTGGAAGGAACGTGGCCTGGTGCCCCTTAGATGATTTCCATCATGCAATGTTCAAGCTTCTTGAATATTCTCGCCCGTTGTGTCTAGCCACTCCACAGCAAACTCTCCCTGGCTAATCTTGGATTCTTTCTCACACCAGGGCATTTATATTTCAATGACTTCCTTCCCATCTAGAAAATCACTATGCCCCGTTTGGCTATGTACCCTGGCAGAAAAGCATCAATCATTGGCCAGTCCTGTTTTTGGCAGTCCACCCTCTTTTCTTTCCCCTACGAAGCACACTCAGATAGTCAAACCAATTAAATAAATATTATCTGATTATTGGCTCAACATGAGTCATTCAATCTGCAAAGTGTCCCAGCTGGATCTCATCCTCTTCAAAGCTTTGTTTATTAAAAACTAAATGAAGCTTGTGCCTGCTAGCCCAGCCAGAAATCCCTAGTCATCTGCCACTTGCTGCAAGTAAGGACCTGTGCTGGCCAGTGGGAGGAGACTTGGAATTAGATAAGTACCTTGCTCAGATCTGCCTTTTACCTATTTACCCTGATGGGGTGGCTGAAGGCTATAAACAAGCATAGTTTTAATGTAACGAAGACAAAAGTCGGGTCCCTTGGCTCTGTGTTGGACTGCTAGCATTGCTTTGCCATCCCTGCTCGAGGCAGGAGAGGCTGGTGTTTGCTTCGTGAGCAGCAGGAACAATTTGCAGGACCCCGAAAGGGTGAGGCCTGGCCTCTGCTTCAGCCTCTCAACCTTTACTGAATGACTGCTAGGTCTGCTGAGCTCTGGGAACGTAATGGTTAAGAGTCTGACTGAGCACGTCAAGGTCAGCAGTTCTAAACTACCAGCTGTTCCAGGGGAGAAAGATGAGGCTTTCTGCTCCCGTAAAGATTTACAGCCTCGGAAACCCTGTGCAGGGTCACTATGAATCGGAACCGACTCCATGGCACACCACCACTGAGTTCTGGTACCTCGTAGTGGGTTATGAGTTGGGCTGCTAACCGCAAGGTCAGCAGGTGAAAACTACCAACTGATCTGTGGGAGAAAGCTGAGGCTGTCTTTTCCCATAGAGCTTTGCAGCCTTGGAAACCCTGTGCAGGGTGACTATGAGTCGGAACTGACATGAGGGCACACAACCCCTGCTGTGCTTTGGCCAAACTCAAACTATCCTGTGGGCATTTTCAGGTGGACACTCCCACAAGAAGCAAGGGAAGGGGAAGCTTTGGCTCAAGCCAATTATTACCCTCGTCACTGATTTTCTCAGCCTCACTGAGCTCCTGACTAAATGAGCTGTCATATTGCTCAGCTAATGGACACTTCCTCTGAAAACCATAAAGCCCATTTTAATAGTAGTGGGAAAAAATGCCAACTTTTGCCCAAGGTTGATGGCGATGGTGGGAACCCATGCGGCAGTGGATTCCAACCCCCACCCCCAGAGCCTGCAGGCCCCCGGACCTTACCTGGCAGGCCCCCGACAAATGTGTGCACAGAGTCACGCAGGTGCCTCCTCAGGAGGGCCAGCCTCTCCTTCAGCTGTGCAGGGCTTGCTTCACTCTGACCCTTGGTGCCATCGACCACCAGGGAGGCCTCCCCTTCCTTCACAGACACTGTCACTACGTGCTCCTGACTGTCGCAGACCTTGATCTCCATCAGGGACAAGGCGACATTCTCGATGGCCAGGATAACCAGCTGAGGGCAAAATGCAAAGCTTAGTAGGCAGGGGAAGAGGTGGTCTGTGAGCCTTATCCCTATCAGCCTTATCCCAATGTCTCTTACAGGGCAGCCCCCTTTGGTGATGGGTGTTTCTGGCAATCCTGCATGTGTGCCTACAGGTGTAGTCTTGGCTCTGCAACTTTTGACTGCAGACCAGTCATTTCATGTCTCTGAGACTTGGTTTCTGTCTGTAAAATGAGGCTGACCAGAAAGTTTGCTAATTGGATATGGAATGAGTGAATAAAGAAATGCCGTCTCAGGCCCGGAGTTAGCTGTGGTCAGAAGCACACATCCCAACCACTCACACAGGAGCCTTGGTGGCTCAGCGGTTGAAGCATCCGAGGCCCCATGGAAGCTGGCTGCTGTAAAGACTTTCGCTGAGAGCCACATCGACTGGACCGCAGTGAATGGGACCACACAAATGTGCCTGTGCCGGAACTGGAAGTTATGAAATGCTATTGCTCGTGTTTGCATGGCAGAGGGCACGGGGTGCTGCCTTGGTTTCTGTACGAATTCTGTTGCAAGAAGCTGCATGGTGGGTTGGCCAAGGAAGCAAACCAGGGCCCACTGCCAGCCTCCAGTGGGTGTTGGCGCCGAGCAGAAAGACAGCTCTTTGAGAGAAGAAGGGGCTCGTCCATCGTCTTCACTTTCCCTACGCATGAAGTGATTGCTATTGGTAGACATTAGGAGAACGTGACTAAGAGATCCAGGGTTTGAACTGTGGGAACAGGATGTAGCAGTCTGCTTTTGTGAAAACGACAACCCTGAAATGTCTAAGGCAGCTTACGTAGTCTCCAAGGTTGCTATGAGTCACAACTGATTCCATAGCAATGGGTCTGGTTTTATTAGTTTTAAAAGTTTGGTGTTTAGGTTAGAAAAACATTCCTAGATAGCGTGTGAGTCTTTCGTCTCTTTGGGAGTTATGTGAATCTATGTGTTAACGAAGCCTGGTACTGCCTAGTCCCGGCACCTAAGAGAGCACAGTGGTCTCTGTGGTAGGCAGGTGGGATCAACAGATGAAGCAGATTTGGTGAACACACACCACTGAGTTAACTCATGCTTTCCTACTTTGGGCAGAGACAAAAGGCACATTTATACTTCTTTCAATTCCGGCACGAGCAGAAGTATGATAAAAGGCCATGGACTTAGGGTCACAGAGGCCGTAGGAGTGGTGGACACAGAGTTAAAGTGGGAAGGGCAGGCTCTGTCCACAGGGAGCAAGTGTCACCACAAGAGAATGATGTTATTACAGGACCCAGTCCAGCGTGGGCATATCCAATTTTTCAAGAGAAACTAGAAATTTGATTCTGCTTGTGAAATCAGCTGACTTTGAACTATCAGCAACTAATTCAAATTGTTCTTAATTGCTGTGCTGGCCAAACACGGGGCCCACTGAGCCTGGGCGCCAACTTTTGCTCTCAAGCTGCTGGTTGCAGACTCCTGGTTCTGTGCCATCTGCGTCTTTGACTTGGGATTGTGTTCATTTGATCAGATGTCAGTAATATCCCTCTAAGCCAAGGCCACCTGTGCCAAACTTGACCTCATTCAACTTCTGGTCAGAGCCTTCAAAAAACAAAAACAAACCAAAGCCAGTTGCCTTGGAGTAGATTTTGACCCGTGTCAACTCTATGCACGTAGAAAACTATTTTATCATAGCTTTCTGTCCTATGACCGAGTCTTTCTTCCGATCCATCTCTGGGGACGTTCAAACTGCCAACCATCATTCACAGTTAGTAGCTGAACGTTTAATAAATTTGGACTTTTTAGGTTGGGATTCAATTTTCAGAGGCAGTGGAAAGATTGGGTAACTTGACCCAAAGGAAAAGAGGCGTTTTGAAGTTTCTGATCCCTGAGGAGTACAAAGGTTCACTAAGATGCTGCAGGTCTTAGTAACTGCACTGGTGGCCGCAGGAGCCAGCGTACCTGCTTTTTGAGCTTCTTTGTGGAGTGGTAATCCACCAGGGCCACGGAGAGGGGAACGGTGTGGTCCTCTCCCATCAATGCTACCAGCACCCCCGTGTCCGTGGCAGGGCGGATCCGAGCAACGATGTCTATTTCCCAGGTGGTTTCTGTGCCTACGTCCAGTGATGTCCGTACTGCAAAGAAAGAGGCCCATTTCAAGATGATACAAACAGGGGAGCAGTGACCAACTCCACACGATGACAGGAAGATTGTGAGTAACTGACAGCTCCCCACACCTGCCCCTGGACAGTGAGGAATGCTGGGCATGGTCTGGTCCAGGCCACAGTGCTCCTGCCCAGCTCAGATAATGCTGTGCGGTTCTAAAGAATGCATCAGCTGTTTCACAAAACAGCCCCACATCCGAGGGAAGACAGAGGGCAGTGTTGGGAAGCCTCCTTGGTCAGACCAGCTCCCTCCACTTCCCAATGTCCTGCTGGTCCCACATGGACAGGTCAGGGGACTGTGGCCACAGGGCCTGCTCACTTTTCTCTTGGTGTCTCTCTTTCTCTCACTAAAGAACTCAATGGAAGAAGCTTTCCCACAAACAGAACTTGCTGCAAACTCACAAGTCTCAACCCATTGTTTTACAATCCACTAACCCTTTCCTATAGTATTCAGGAGCTCTGCAAGTTTCAAAGTACTTTGAAGAATTGAAAATACAATGAAATGGAAGCTGTAATTATTATAATTTATACAATTTTATATTTTGAGTGGAATTGTTTTTTCACTGTTCTGATGCCTCAGTGGAGAATCTCTTTATTTTGATACAATCTATTTATCCATCCATCTATATTTTTTATCTACCTACCTACCTGTTGTTAAATACCACTGAGTCAGTTCTGACTCATAATGACCCTGTATACGTTTTCTAAGAAGCTTCTGGTGTCTTTGAACCACCAACCTTGCAGCTACCAGTTCAGTGCTTATCCTGCAGAGCCATACCAGGACCCACCAACCTACTAAGGAGCTTCAAACAGTTTGTGGGAAAATCCCCCTCATAGCTACCTATCCATCCGTGTACCTTATACAAATAGTTAAACAAATATATTTTGTCAACAAGGGCTAGATTCTGATTCCTGAGGACAAATACCACTTTCTATTAATTGCTCACATTTAAATCATGAGCGGAGAGAAAAACCCAGACGAAAACCTCTCTACCCCATTGGTTTTTAAGTATTTCTAGCTCACAAAGAATTTAAAATTCCTCATTGGAGGAATTGTGTTTAGGCAAAATAACACCAGAAATCAGTATTTCCATAGATTCAAATTCAGGTACCTCTCTACCATAGGGTTGGAGTTAATATTCAGAATGAGTCATAACCATTTCTTCCTACTTCCCCACTGCACCGTGAGTTCCTCACATCTTCAGTGTGTTACCACCGTAACAGAATGGTGTGAGTGTTGTCAGTTCTCACTCATTGTTTATTGATGTGAATGCGCACAGAACTGGTAAACTCTTTCGCACACACACACCATTTTCTTCTGCTGCCAAAGTCTTCCCCTTTATGTGTGAAGGGAGAGAAAAGAGTCTCCTTTAGTACGTTAAGTAACACCCCTCCCAGGGTATTTAGGCACAAGGGCAAATTGTAAAGACGTGTTTAAGGCACCAGAATCTGTCGGTGAGAGATTAAGTCAACCTTCAAGAATACCATTCCTCCCCTTTAACTGGGGTGTAAACTGATGAGATCTCACTCTGTGGACTTCAGGCTGTGAGATCCTGTGAATTTAAACCCATTGTCAGCTGCTGCAGAGGAAAGGAGTATCACACTGTGTCTAAAGAACCTTCCCTGTAATATACAATGCACGTTAACAGCATTGCTTGAGATGTATAAAAAATGCAAGGAGATCTAAATACCATGTGGTCTTTGCTTTCATAGACCTTATAGAGGAAAGCCATGTGGTGCTGTGGGCTAATGTGCTGAACTGAAAAGTCATTTGAGCTGCAAGGTCGGTGGTTCAAATTCACCAGCCACTCCTCAGAAACCATATACCAGGGTCGCTATGGGTAGGAACCGACTCGATGGCACTTAACAACTAGAGTAGAAATAATCATTACAGTATACACTGTTATAGGCACATTTGACTTTATGTAATGTCCATATTACAAAATGAAGAATTATACCTATTGTGCAAAAAAGTCAACATTTTATATTGCATGGATTTTGTAAGAAACATGATTACAGTGATGTCTTAGATTTGTTTGTATAAGAACATGGAATAGTGTACTGACTGTACTATGGTTGTTGCCGACTCTAAGCAAGCCCGTATTAGATGGTATTAGACAGCTGAATTAAGAAGTGAATGGCTCCTTTCTTTAAAAGACCTTTAATGATATGGTAATATTTTGGACAATTGGAGCACAGTGATAAAATGAGAAAAAAGATGACAATCTGAAGTTTCAAGAGGACTTGTCTGTCTTGCTAATTCAGAAATGCAGAGTCCACCGACTCTGCCCTGGGCCAGGCCTTTGTTTGCCTTTCAGTTTTTATTGTGAATTGAGTGATAGTTTACACAGGAGAACTTTGGTTTTACACTCATCAATTTCATTGCAATGATTACAATCTCCTCTGTGCACCATCATTCTACAGTATTTGCTTCTTTTTTTGGGCAGGGGGAGCTGAGATGCACACAAAACCACCCAGGAATATATAAAATTATTTAAACCCAAGGGCACATTCTGCAAGCTTGCCTCCTGGCCGCCAGCACTCAGTCCCTCTCTTTCCATGAGTCCAGAGTCCTCAGCTGCTCGCTCTCTCTATGTCCTTTCTTAAACACGGGGTTAAACTGGGTATTGGAGGGGACGCATACTGAGAGGGGGCTCTAAAGCAGGGCCTGCCTTTCCTAAGGTGGGAGAAGGCAGAGTCTGGCTGTTTAACCACAAAAGGATTGGAGTGTGGGAACAGAGAGAAGCTGAAGTCACCTCAGTGGAACTCAAGCTGGATACCATATGGAGACAGGAGGGACAGGAAAGAAGGAAGAATGGGCACAGGGGACCAGGGAGGTAGAGGGAGAGCGCTGTGATATAGAAGGGACCTTATAACATCACTAAACAACACGCACATTCATTGCTGAGTAGAAAACTAGCTTGATCTGCAAATTTGCACCCAAGCTACATAAAGTCAAGAAAATAAAGTATATCCAGGTACCAGCTATACTGATAGGAAGACCCTCAAATCTATTGCTTGGAAAACCCCTTTTAAGCTGCAAATTCAAACGGTCCCATGATGTTACCTCTGAACAATTCAGCTGATTTAATAAAGTTTATTGTAAGCACTGCTCTCTTTTAAAGAGATATTGACAGGCAATTAAGCAGGCCACAGGGACTGAAACACAGATGAGGCAGTCGGGGGCCGACAGAGTCCAAGTCCAGGGCGTAAAACAATGTGGACAAAGAGAGGGAGCATGGGGAGGGGGACCCAATGTGAAGGGTGACCACTGTCCAGTGGGTGTGCGTTTCATGATGTCACCAGAGTCAAGGGGGGAGGAGCGGTAACTATAGAATTCACCCAGACCTACCACAGATCAACCAGAAAGGCAGAGGAATTCAAGGAGGCATGAAAAATCCTTGTTACTCAGGGGAGGAGCCTGTGAATCTGCTAAAAGCGACTGAAAAATTCTGCTTAAGTGGCTCATTTTATCAACTTAATGAGATTATGTTTTGGTAACAGAAGTAAAAAGATAGATGTGTTGTGTTTCGTTTTAAGAAATGAAGAGCTATTTGATGAAAACTAGGCGGGCCTCCCCCCATCTTCGTTTACCCTCTGAGTAATCTCGTCTCATCCTGGGCTTCAGTTTCCATCTAAATGATGATTCTTACCCTGCATTGAACTCAAGCCCTCATGTCCACCTGTGGGATTCCATAGGCATTTAATCTTATATAATGTGTCCTTAACAGATCTTAGGAGTCCCCAGAGGTTACAAACAGTTAAATGCTCAGTTATAGCCAAAGGGTTGGTGATTTGAATCCACCACGCCCCCCTCCCCCAGTCGTGCCTTGGAAGACAGGCTTGGTGATGGCCTTGAAAACCCTTTGGAATTGTTCTGTTTTGCACACACAGGGTCAGAATCGATTTGACAGCAACAAACGTGACACTGTAGGAGAAGCACTGGATTGCTAACTGTAAGGTCGGCAGTTCAAACCCACTACTGCTCCTTGGAAACACTATATATAGGTTTACTAAAAGACGACACTTAACAGATCTTAGGGTTCCCTCCCACTCTGTCCAACATCCACCTTTCTCCTCTCATCTGTCCCATCTCCCCATCTTTCTGCTACATGTGGCTACTACGCCACCAGCTTCAAGAAGACATGTGCCTTTCCCCCTCCAGATACAATAGCAAAGCTCTTTTGCTGCATTGAGCTTGCGTTTGGCTAAGCCTCGTGTCTCTGGAGAACTCCAGCCTCCCTGAGGACACTACGGTCCTCCCTGACACTATAGTCCTCTCCCTGACATTATGGTCCTCCCTGACTAGGTGCCTCTAGCACTTCCCTTTTTCCAGTCTTTTCTCCTCCTTTTTGTAACTTTGGCTCATTGGGACACTTTGAATATCATACTGCTATTTTTAGATGCTGTCTCCCTAGTTACTCCTCTTGAATCACTGGTGGCAACGTCAAATGCATTTTTGAGACTTTCTCAACCCACCTGGAAAAACGTCTGAGCTTGACTTGCCCCTCAGAACTTATTGCAAAGTCTCTTCTTCAAGCCTTCATACCCTAGGCAGCCTGGGTCATTCTTTACAGCCACCACGGCTAGGTGTCTTCCCTTAAGATCACAGATTAATTGGAAACTCGGTCAGACCATGGGCTGCCATCTTGGAGGTGGCGTCTCTTTACTACCGTGTGTGGGGCCTGAAAGCTGTTGTGGGCATCATCTGATCCCTGGCACTGTCTTCAAAGGTATGTTGTTTTTTGTATTTTGTTTTGATTGTATGATTGGCTGAAAGTGCAAACCTATATTGACTAGAGAACCAAGACTTACCATAATCGAGACTGTAGAAAGCAAATCCATTCCCGGGATAGTAGGACCCTTTTTCTGTCACAGAGAAGCATTGCATTTTAGTGTTGACTTTGACTGTTTCTTGGATGGTGGTGTCTTCACCATTCAACCAGTTCCAACTCCTCAAACAACCGTCCAGGCGAGGATTTATCTGGAAAGAAAGAAATCCCAATAGCTTCTTGGGAGACACACGTGCTTTCAGCTATCATAAGACGCCAGGTGACCAGGCACCTCCTTGAACAGATAAACAGAGTTCTCCATCATCCCAGGAACAGGGGGTCCTCGGTTCGAACCACACACATGGAAATCTCGTAAATTTTGTAAAAATAGATAAGTCCTACTTGTTTCTCAAAAGATAGCTTCCCTTTATAAGATGACTTACTGAGGAAAACCTTGGATGGCCAGTATAGCAGTGCAACCGGCATGAATGTTCATCAAAACCTACCCTTCTTTTCCTCTGTTTCTCTCCCTGTTTGTAAAAGAGATGAGAAACAGTGACCAGCTATGTGAGTGGATGTGAGACGTGCTGACATGTATATAGCCATTGTGCCGGTATTGCTTAATGGCACCTAAGTCATTCTGTTTGATGCTGTTGTGGAGAACATAGACCCAGGGGCTGTGTATGTACTTCCCAGCTCTGTCATACACTTGTTATGTAGTTCTGAGTAAATCGGGTCAGCTCAGCCTTTACCTGTGAAACAAGACTGGGTGGAGAGGTGAACAGTCACTGACATGCTTGGCAGCCCCCTCATATTTCTTGTATTTTTCTGTGGAAATGATGACCACAGTATCAAGAGTGCTAGCCCTTGACCTCAGCTTGCTGGGAAGACAGAAATGGATGTGGTGAGCCGGAGGAAGAAAAGCAGGATGTTGAAAAATGAACTTTCCCTTTAAGCTTGTTCTAACCCATGGAAACGTTGGCAAGCCTAACATCCCCAAATGTTATCAGAACAGTCCAAAAAAAAGGCCTCATTTTTCTTTTAGTTAAAACAACAATTTCATTGTGTCTTATCCCCATTGCAAAACAGACATTTTTATGATCATGTTCCGATGAAAACTTAATTGAGTCTCATAAAAGAGACGATGAGAAACCTCATGTGTAATTAATGCCATCGCTTTGCTGGCTAATTCGAAGTCATTTTGGCCTTCCTCGAGGTTCTTTGCCAAGCTTGATTAATGTTAAACATGTGTCAGCTCATGACTAAGCCTGGTCCTTGTGTGGGTTCCAGGCTCTCAGACCCACTGTGCACTGTGTTCTTACCCTGGTGACTGATGGTGGTACTTACAGGCTGAATGAGGTCTTTCTCTTTAAAGGGGATGCCTCCTACGGTGAGGTTCAGATGATACAGTCCTCTGTCCAGCTGAAACAGATCCCCAGCCACGGCGATTTTCATAACAGCGTCCTTGTTAACTTTGATCACCAGATTCCGCTCTAGCTCCTCAACAGAAATCTGGAGAACACAAATGATACAAGAGGACCTTCTGATTAGGAAAAGACCACCCTAGCTTCAAGGGGTGCTCAGGGACACCTAGAGGCAGTTTGAGTCTCCCCTCTGTGCCCCAGGCAGGACGTGTGCACGACAACACCATCAAGTCACCGTGTGAGCTGACAGGTCACTGCTGTGAAAATGGAGGCCGACAGAGTGTCTGTGAATGAAGAGAAGACCTTGTGTCTCCAGTGCCTTCTCCAGGGAAACCGGTGACAGCCAGAACTCAACAGAACTGCCTTGTCTCTCCAGGTCTCACTAGTTTTCTGCCTTTAACAAGTTGTAGCCACCACTTTTGTATCACTACTCTTAGTGCAAAACCAAGGTCAGTGAAAATGAGGAAGATCCCCCAACGAGACAGACTGACCGTGGCAGCAGCAATGGACTCACATGTAAAGGTTGTGAGGAAGGCGTAGGACCAGCAGTGTTCCTGTTGTGCACAGGGTCACTACAAGTTGGAAACGACTCAATGAAACCTAGCAACCTGATGCAAAATCTTTGAGTTTGCTACTCTTACAGGTTTCTGCCTTACTGGTTGGCACTTTTGCTGGTTCTCTGAGAAGAAATGAACCAGTGGCTGATGTCGGCATAAAGCTTCAGACAGAAGGTAAAATCGCTGTGTGGCTGGCTGCTCCGTGGTTTTCCTCACACACGGGTTCTGTGCAGGCTTCAGCTAATGTTAACTGCCTTGTATAAAGGGAAAACCCAGCCGGTGCCATGTGTTCTTTCTCTTCTCTGAGCAATGTGTTGTCAGTTTCTTCTGCCTCTAAGCAGAGGTCCAAATCAGCAGGACTTTGGTTTAAAGAGAATGTTCACTCACTGTCAGCACGCAGGACCATGTGGGTGGGAACCTCTTAACCAGTGAGCCATAAAGCAAGCTGAAGCCTAAAGCTAGCTCGTGGTTTCAAATGTTTTCTTTTATTGCAAAATGCAACACACATGTAGAAAAGTAAACCAAACCTAAACAGATGAATGAATCATTATAAAGCAAAGGTTCTTGTAACCACCACCACCATCAGGAGATGTCAGCATGTCAGCGCCCCCAAAGCCCTCCTGGGGAGTTCTTTCTCAATCACAACTCGTGACCTGCTAACCCTAACCCTAACCTAAATATAAATCCCTAATAATAAGCAAGTTGAGTTTTGTTTCATTCAGAAGGCACTGTTTTGTCTGTTGATGTTGTTCAACACTGTTTCTGAGATTCACTCCTGTCATTGTATATTTCAGGTTTATTGCTTGAAGGATTCCATTGTATGACTCCATCCCAGTAATTTACCCATGCTACTGTTAAAATAGGAGTCCTGGTGTGGCGCTGTGGGCTAATGCGTCAGACTGCAAAGTCATTTTAACTGCAACATCAGTGGTTCAAACTCACCAGCTGCTCCTTGGAAACCCCATACAGGCTCGCTATGGGTTGGAATTGACTCGATGGCTCTTCACAACAATAACAACTGTTAAAATAAGTCAGGCTGCGAACTTCAAGTTCAGCAGTTTGAAACTACTGCAGCAGAAAGAGGAGGCTTTCTGCTCCTGTAAAGACTGACAGACTTGGAAGCCCTATACAGAGTCCTATGAGTCGAAACTGACTCCCAGCACAACCACCACCACCATTAGTAAGTACGTAGGGTTTTTCAGTTTGTAGAATTACCAAAGCAAGTTGCTGCAAACACATTTGCATGTGTATCGAGTTGATTCTGACTCATAGCGACCCTGTATAGGGTTTCTGAAGAGCAGCTGCTGAGTTGGAACCGCTGACCTTGTGGTTCAAATCAACCCTGCGGTTCAGTACTTTTTCCCACAGCGCCACATAGTTGTTGCTGTTGGTGTGATGTGGAGTCGGAACCGACTCCAATCGACCCTGAATAGGGTTCCCGAGGCTGTAAGTCTATACAGGAGCAGAAAGCCTTATCTTTCTCCAATGGTAGTTTCGAACTACTGACCTTGAGATTAGCAGCCTGACTCGTAACCACTACGCTACCAGAGGTCCTTATTTGTATCCTAGTGTGCACAAAATATTCCTAGCTTGATCATAAAGGTTCGATGCCTAGCTGAAAGGTTGGTGATTTGTATTTACCCAGAGGTACCCAGGAAGATGGGTCTGGTGACTGGCTTCTGCAAGATCACAATCTTGAAGTTCTCATGGAACTGTTCCATGCATATCAGAGGTTGTCATGAATCAGAAATGACCTGACGGCAAATAAGAACTAGCAAAAATGAGTCTGATCATCGGACCTATCTATTCCTCAACTTTACAAGACAATCCCAACCTGTTTTCCAAAGCAGTTTCACCAGGAAGTTCCGGTAATGAGCCTACATCCTTACCAACACTTGGTATTGGCAGGATTTTTTAACATTTGCCATCCCAGTTTCACATCAATTTACATCTCACTGTTACTACAGCAACTTAGCTTTACCCTTGCAGTCCAGTGTTTTATCCTACAGTGCCACACCAGGACTTTAGTCGTTTTGTCCTGTAAGACTGCAAACATTTTTACAGCTTTAAACATTTGCTTTTTCCATATGAATATATGATTATCCGAGAACATTTATTAAGAATATAGACCCTTCTCCTCTACTCTCCACCATTATTTTCACCACTAACTGAATGTCCACATTTGCATGTCTGGGTTTCTAGGCTCTCTTCTACTTGTTCATCCTTCCAGTAACACCACACTGTTTTAATTACTGCAGCTTCCCAATAAATCCTGCTGTCCAGGCAAACAAGTCCTCCTACTTTCATCACCTTCAAGAACACCTGCTATGGAGTCCTGGTATGGTGCTGTAAGGATAAGTGTTCCAAACCTACCAGCCACTCCTCGGAAACTCTATATAGGGTTGCTATGGATCAGAACCGACTCAATGGCACTTCACAACATCACAGTTTCACATCGGGTCCTGGTGTGGGACTACGGGATAATGCACTGAACCCCCAAGGTCAGTCTGAACTGCAGGGACAGTAATTTAAATCCACCAGCTGCTCCTCAGAAACCCTATAGAGGGTCGCTGTGAGTCGGATCCGACTCGATGGCACTTAACAACAACAGTTCCATATAAACTGTGCAATCCAGTTGTGAAGTTGCACACACACACATACACACACACACAAAGAGAAAGAGATGGTTTCGGACTGGGATTATATTAACTCTGTACCATATTTAGGGAGAGTGTTGAGGTCTTTGGAGTCCTGGTGTGGCTCTGCAGGTTAATGCGCTAGACTGCAAAGTTGGTTTGTACCACAAGGTTGGCAGTTCAAGCTCACCAGTCACTCCTCGGAAACCCACATAGGGTCGCTATGGGTCGGAATTGACTCGACAGCACTTAACAATTGACATTTTTATCATTTGAGTCTATCAATCTATGTATTGTTAAGTGCCAATGAGTCGATTCCAACCCATAGTGACCGTATATAGGGTTTACAAGGAGCAGCTGGTGAGCTTGAACCACCAACCTTGCAGTTCAAGCGACTTTATAGTCTAATACATTAGCCCACAGCACCACACCTGGACTCCTTAATCTGTGTATGGACGATCTTCATATTGCTACAAGTCGCAAAAAGTAAGTGTTGTAAATATTTTATAAGATTTATTCCTAGCAATCTGGTATATCTTTTAAAAATATTAATTCTGCTCATTGCTAGTGTTTGGAAATGCAGTTGATTTTGTATTTTGGCATTTTATTCAGCAGCCTTGCTAACTGTCTATTATGTGCTCACAATTTTACCACCTGCATTTAAACAACATTATCTCATCCTTTCCATGCCTTTATTTCATTTAAATTATTTTCTCCTTTCCTTATTTCCATTGTGATTCTTCCTTTGAACTGTGGATTATTTGGGAATGTTTATTTTAGTGTCCAAAATACAATTCCAATGCTTTTGGATTGTGGAGACTTGGCTTTCAGCCCAGTATACTCTAGTCAATTTTTAATATATTTCATGCATGTTTAGTACATATATTCTGTAATTATTTTGTGTAGTATTTTATAAACACCAGTTTGTTGAACTTTTGTTAATGGAGATTTTGCTAGGTGCAATTCATTACTAATTTTCTTTTGTGAATACACTCCACAGAGGTGGATTAGTGTATTTCACAATGACTTCTCTTTGTGTCATTGTTGTATGCCACCAAGTTGATTCCAACTCACAGCACCTCTATATTTTTGTTGTTACGTGCTGATGAGTCAGTTCCAACTCACAGTGACCCTGTATAGGGTTTCCAAGGAGAAGTTGATGAGCTTGAACTTCTGACACTGTGGTTCACACTGACCTTGCAGTCAGTCCACTGTATTAACCTTCAGCACCACACCAGGACTCTGGCAGCTCTATATAACGGAGGACAACTGCCCCGCAAGGTTTCCTAATCTGCAATCTTTACTGGAGCGAGTGGCCAGTTTTTTCTTTCACAGAGCAACTGGTGGATTTGAACTGCTGACCTTCTGGCTAGCAGCCAAGCGCTTTAGCCATTGTATTATTAGGTTTCATTTCTCTTTGTAGTTCTATTCAGTGTTCACTTTATATTATTTGAGGCCATGTTACTAGGTGAACACAAGTTTAGAATTGTTCTCTATTGCTGGTGAATGGAAAGTTTACTCCTGAAGAAATGATCTTCTATGTCTCACAATGGTTTCCCCCCTAAAGTCTATTTTTATCTGATACCCTACACCAGCTTTCTGTTGCTTAAGTGTTTGCCTGGTAAATCTGTTTGTTAGTTTTAAGCTTTCTCTATCTTTATGTTTGAGATGGGCCTCTTGTAAACAGCATGGAGTTTTTCTTCTTTAATATGGTCTGACCATCTTTGCTTTTTTAGATCAGTCCATTGCATTTAGTGCATTTGGGTTTAAACTTACTTATCATACTTTTTCTTCCTATTTACCTCACTGTTTTGTGTTTTTCTTGTATTGCCTTCTTTTGGATGAACTGAGTAGTGTCTATTACTGAATTTTTTAAATGAAAAATTGGAAAACTT